CCACACACACACACACCATATTAATAGCAACACTGCTGCCTAAAATACCAATCTGTCCACCAGAGCTGCTTTCCATTGTCTTCTTTTTAATCCCTGTCCACGCTCTACATTCATCCATCTTTCTCTGTCATTTTCTACCCCCCCTCAGTATCCCAGTGGGACCACCCCTATTCCCATGGGTGTGTACATGCATGTATGACTGTGTGTGTGAGGAGGCTGCATCATGACAAAGAGTACCTCCCAGATTCTACCAGACCAACATATCAAGCCTTTCTCACTCTCTCCCGTGTCAACTATATTATTTCTCCAGCTTTCTCTACCTTTTTCTTTACATCGCGTGAACGCTTCCTCGTCCTCTTCCTCTCTTTCTCTTTCTCCTCTTCTGCAGATATGAGGATTTCATCTGCCCTTTTCTTCAGCTGCGAGGCAGCGTGCGCCATGCTGCTTCAGTTCAATTTAATCCTCACAGGTGGGAAACACAAGGGGAACAGAAGAATGAACGGAGGGATGGACCCAAAGTCTTCTCTTTATCCTTTTCTTTTAGCTCTTAATGATCTTTTTGTTCCTCCTCTCCTTGGCTGTGCTTTTGTCAGAGAGGGAGCCCTCACAGATGTGTGAGAGGGAGAACCTATAAAAGATTTCCCGGTTTCTTTGTTCCTTATCTCCCACAGCAGCTTTCTAAGCAAGCTCAAAGGTCCAGTTTGGGGCAGGGCATGCTCTTCTGTTTCACCTCGTCAAGATCCACCGCTGAGAAGGCAGCTGCTCAATGCTGAAAGTGCAAAATAAGTGCCAATTGTAGCAAATACAAAAACTGTGCATTTATATGATCCACACTGAGGTAAAACTGTCCCACTGATTAAGAATTAGATATTAAATTTCAGTTATAGGTGAATTAATAGAGCTCCAGGGTTGAAGGTCCAAGATACGGCTCAATCTCAAGCCTCTAGCCCAGCTGAGAGCTCTGTCGTCTGGGTAAATATGCTGGTCCTGTTGCCTGCTTGACTGGTTCCCCAAGCCCACCGCCTGAACCTGAGCACTGAGCCATCCTCGATGTATGCACACAGTCTTGCCGGGACATATGAACAGGAAGGGAGGTGACAGTGGAAAGCAAGTTGAAATAGGAGGAGGAGGGAGGGGTGAGAAAGGAGGAGAGAGCAAGAAATAAAGAGAGAAGCCTGGAAAAAAGGGGGAGCAAGGATGGCTGAATACCTCTGCTCAGTACCAGCTGGCTGAGAGATAAGGAGGGAGAAGGGGAGGATGAGACTTCACACAGGGTACATACAGCACACACACACACACACACACACTGGGTGCCCAGCATAGCACAGTGTGCAGCCATGACACTCCTGTTACAAAACCTGATTCACTGTCTGCATCCTCGCTGTTTGTCCTTCTTGATTACAGCAGCACCAAAACAAGAACTGGTAAAGAAACCAAACAAACCACCTTACAGACACAATGAAACACTTACTTTCAGTAGTTTTTAATTTACAAAGTCTAGAATCTTGTCATCCTAATTGTCCACAGTGAATTTTGCTTTTAATTTATTTCTGTATACACAATGTCTATTGCACATCTGTCCATCCTGGAAGAGACATCCCTCCTCTATTGGTCTTCCTGAGGGTTTCTGTCCATTTTCCATGGCCAGTTGAACTTTTTTTGTGAGTTTTTTCCTTTTATGAATTAAGAATCTAAAGACAGAGGGTGTCATATGGTGCACAGATTTTAAAGTCCCTTGAATTAATTTTGTGATTTTGGATCAAATTAAATAAATAAATAAAACTGACTTGACAAGACTTGAGGGCACAGGTTTGTGGTCAACACTGGTAGGGATACCACCCCAACCGCCAAAACCGCCTTACATCTCCATCTTTTCATACTATCTTTGTTTTCATGGTTTACTTCAAAATTAATAAAAAAAACTAGTGACTTGGAAAAACCCACAAACATTTTCACCTGAGTTGTACAAATAAAGGAGATGGATCAATTATTAAGATAGTAATGCACTATTCATTATAAATTAATACACAAGATATTTTCTGTGCAATTGCCTACTTTCAAGAAAGACAAGGAGCAAAAAAATCCAGTCAGTTGCCTGAAGTGGCGAAGAAAATAACAAGTCCAGTCTAATGAAGGAAAACCAGGCAACAATTTAAAATCCTAGACATTCGAGGAATCAGTGTTATCAGTGAATCTCTGCATGTTTCCAGTTTGCATTGTGTTTCTAGTATGTGTGTGAGATGTGCTGGTATGAGCTCATGTCACTGCTGCCTTTGACTATTAACAGCATGGGAGAGGGGAAGGGATTGTAGCCTGTGATGAAAACATGTGACAGCAGAGCAGGGTTTCTATTGGCTGTAACCGGCTGCTAGGAACAGGAGGTACCCACAAAATGTCAATAACAAAGAAGACAGGAGAGAGAAGAAGGATGTCAATACAAACAACAAGCATTTTAAAGGCATTGACTCTGTGTTTCTTAAACCACAGTGAGTGGGTCTGTTTCTTTTGTGACTGTGAGACAACAAACAATCAACAATAAAATATGAACTCCTGTGAACTGTATGCAGTATGCCTGAGGACAATTTATAACTGACATCTGACATCATAGGAAAAGAGGCAGAATTATGTTTTGTATGTTGTATTTGCACAACCTCTACAGCTTGTGCCCCAGATAGCTCCTCTCTCTGGGAAGGAGCCAATGAGTGAATGAACATTCATTGCAGCATCTAGTGTAAACAATGCTAAAAATAAATGCAACTTAATAAATACTGCAATATATAGTGTAACGAAAGCATGACTCTCACTAATGTCCTAAAGAATATAGCTAGTTAAATGGGTACCTGAAGTGCACGCTGTTCAATATATCAAAAATACATCCCTCTCACAAATCATTCACAGTATTCACGTGTTAAGTTCAGACACCCTTAACTCCAGTTACTATACTATAATAAGCCATCTGTCAGTGTGCGACTTTAGATAGGATTTATTGCACTAATCCTTCATTATCTCCATCTGTAAGAGGAGCTTATAAATTAGCTGCACTAGCCCTTAAAGGCCTGAAACAGGGATTAACAGCAGGCAATTTCTCTGTATGTGGATCAGAAATTTTAAACTAGCCTAACAAAAGATGATGTCGTCTAAGGTTTTAAGAGTTTGGCTCAATGTCTCTGATGGTATCTTTATAGTGACATGAATCTACTTTTATTTTATGTCACATCTTACCTCCCTCAGCCAGTGTGATGGAAACAGCACAGTCTACTTATCTACATGTGAGTCAGCACCAAACATGCCAGCCACTTTCATTTTTTCTCTGTTTATGGTTCCATCATGTGCACCTTTGTCAACATTCTTTATGCTGTGTTCTACTTTTATCAGTCTTTCTGTCCCTGTTATGCTGATCTAACCACTGCTGGTGCTCATCACCACCTGCAGCACACAAGTCATGGACAGGTGTTTGCTTTTACTAGCCTCCACTGAGTTGAAACAACATTGCACTCAGTATAGCCACAGAATTTAGGTTCATTTCATGATGAAAACACACACACACACACACACACACACACACACACACACACATATAACATGGATATAATGCAAATATATGTAGAGCAGGAAGAATATGAATATTGGTTTAAGAAAAGGTTTGTTTTATCAAAATGAGCATCTGCCAGTTTCCCACCAGTAACTAAACAAACACTCCCAGGAAATAAAATGTCAGGTGCAAGACAGAGCAGTTAACAATGAAATGAGGAAAAAGCCTATTAGTAATTATAACCAGCAAAAACAAATAAACAAACCTAAAATTTCACTGCTCCACAAAACAAGGTAACTATCTGAGGGAAAAGCTTTCAGTCTTCCTTGATACAGTATGTACAAGTATTGATGTCTACGTTTATCCTTTCTGTGGTGTCTGGCTCCCTCTAGTGGCAGTCTGGGGTGTTTAAAAAGCCCCTCGAGCGTTCATAAGTGCAGCATCTATAAGTGGTGTGAAGCTGTGCACAAATACAGCAGAAACAAACAGAGCGAGTGTAACTCTAATCCACAGTACTGTGGGTTTGCTGTCCCTGCGCTGGAGTCAGTGCATTACAAGAGGATACAGAAAGATGGTTTTGGTCCAAACAGATGAGAGCAGTGTGTCTGTGTATTAATACAGGTGAGTGCTGTTACAGTAGATTTGATGTGTCACTCAAACTACAGATACATCTCCTTTGATCCAGCACAATATGTACCAAATGTAGTTTTAATTTTTCACCACTTAGAGGCAGCATCACACAGAGAAAGATGAGAACATGGGTTGTTTCCTTGTTTTTCACTCGCGTCAAAAGAAAACTGCTTACACCAGGCTTACTTCAGTAAACAAGGCTTCTTTTTCACAAAATTAAGTTCTACTTTAAATGAAAACTTGGCCTGGTCTCTCAGTCAGGCTAGTTTTCAGTCTATACTTCTGGTCTGACTGGTGCTACAATCTGCTCCAAATCTGACTGGAGTTCAAACATTTCCTGCACCAAACCCAGCGGTTCCTCATTGCTAATGTACTGCAAATATATTTAAATTGCAGTGAATGTCAATTTTAATCTGACAGGTGCCACAGTTAGTGCTTAATTAGATATATATGCCTGTATCAATAAAATCTTTGCACAGCACCTTGTTCCAGCTGGACTCAGGCCCAGCTGTCTTTGTTTGTCTTATATGATATCTATTATTCTGTTCCTTTTTGTTTATGTGCATGACTAATTTGTGCATTTGTGTAAATAAAAAATAAAACATGGTTTTACATCCTCTCCTGTTGTTTTCTATCTGGTTCTCTGTAAGCATCTATGTATGAGCATGCTAATCACATTAGCATCTCTCAGCCTGATTAAACTCAACATTCCTCCCTATACTGCACTGCAACAACACAAACCCAAACTAATGTTAAGACACAGATACGTGCTAATGAACGAGAGGATATGCAAGTATTAAAACTAAGTTTTTCTTAGAATTTGCTTCACCTGCACAGAGCACCAGGTGGGTGAGGATGACAGCACAGGAACATTAGCAAAACACCAGTAAAGCTGCTGATCATTGAGCCTTATCACAGAGCAGAGACGTGGATGCCAGCACATTTCAGGCCAGTCTAAGGGCACGCTGCTGATCATTGAGCCTTATCACAGAACAGAGACGTGGATGCCATTTTGCCACATTTCAGGCCAGTCTAAGGGCATATTAAGGATGCAAGCTGCTTCTGCTCTTGTGTCTGAATTTGGGAGTAATTCTAGCTTTATGTAGTGTTAATGTGTTGTGTCACATTAGCAATAACAGTGTTCTACTGGACTGACACATTTAGTGTTAGTCAAGTAACTCTAGCTTCAGACTGGGGCAATGTTTCATATAAACCAGACAAATAAATAATAAATGGTGATGAATGCATGTGTAGTCTGATGAAAATAATGCATAAACAAGGTCACTCACAGCTGTCGTCTAAGAAGTGCACTTAACATTTAGCCAAAAGCCCCTGTTGTCTTCTCTCTGACTCATGCTGTCCCAACAATGACAAAGCAGAATCCAGATATCTGACACATGATAACACAAATGCACTACATAAAGATACGTATAACGCCATAACACCCTCGGCCCTGTTCAAGTGACTGCTGGATGACAGTTGAAGTCTGCTGATCTACAGGATCAGTCAGACAGATTTGATCGCATTAGGATGTGAGGGAGTTTGGGTGTGGCTAGCCCAGACACTCTATAAAAAATAAATAAATAAATGTCCATTAACAACACTGTTGCATTCATGTGGGTAGACTGCTGTAATGGTAGCCATGACAGAGCTACCCTGCCTCGATCATCCATTAGTACTGCAGGCCATCCCTTCTCAAATGCTAAAGCAGAACCAAGGAATCACATCTGAACCCAAAACACCAGCTTCTCAAAAGACCTTTGACCAAGACCCTTCCTTGTGACAAGAGATGTGATATTGGAGAAATACTAGATGTGTAAATGTGCATTAATTCTTCATATAAACTTAAATGATGTTGGTCATTGTTGTATTCACAAGTACAGTATATCACACAACGTCTGAAAACACCTTGTCTTTATGCAGAAAGTACTGCATGGTTCGATTTAGGAAAAGATCGTGGCTTGGGGTAAAACACATTAATTAAACACAACATCACATGGACTCGAACACCTCTCTCATGTGGGAAAGTACAGTTTTTGTC